TTTTTTTTTTTACATTGCCCCTATTTTACATTTGAGCCCCTGCCCCTGAGGAACTCTCTGCATGTCCCTGCTCCTCCACTATACACATCTGATGACCCTGTCTGGGTTTATTTCGCGATAATGACCGGCTGACAGTACTTTATCCAGCATTATTACATGGCTACTATAAATACTGAAAATTCACAAAACAATCATTCTAGCAACAAAACAAACACATTACTACAATTGATAGAGTTAATAATATAATAGATTGATAAAGTTTCAGTCATCTGATTAAGCAGGCTAATGGTGCATTCAAGTCATGTCAGAGAGATCATATTAATGAGTTAAACACACATGAACACCACCACAAAGTCATAATTTACGAGTGGGAACATCTGTGCTTACTTTAAACCCAGAGTTTCCAAGTTGGGAGAATGTCAGTGAGGAAGTATGTGGACACAACTGATGCAGCGTCTCTATTGACGGTAAATTTATTTGATTGATTGATTTATTTCATTTACAATAAAACTAGCTAAGTTGCATATACAAAACACATTAGCACATATTTAGCTTCATAAACTGAACAAAAAAAAAAAAACATCTTGTTCTGGGTTATTATAGTTAACTGAAATAAAATAAAAGCATACAAAATTGTAACTAAAAACTAAAACTGAAATTAAAAAAAAAAAAACTATATATTTACATATTTAAAAACAACAGAAAATATAAAAATAAAATCTAATTCAAAATGCTAATAACAAAAAATATCTCAATTATACTAAAATAACACCAGTGATTAGTGAATGCACCTGACGTCATAATTCCCAACTCGTAAATACGAACTTCCCAGGAGGACATGAACACACCATGATATATATGTACAGCATTCCCGGGTGACAGTAAATATTAGGAAATATCTGACTGCTGAACACTGCCACTAACCAATAAGAATCATGGATTTCAGTGCTTGAACAATCTAAGTAGCATGCAGCACACCTCCCGCAATTCTCTATGCATCTACCCATCCATTCTAAAGATATTCCAGTCACATCCTATGCTCTGTAGGGAAAACAAGAGGGCCATGACCAGATCCCTGAAGTCATAGGCTCCTGTATGGACTCCTATGCACTTCCTATAGTCTCTCAATGCTCAATACAATGTCATTTCACAACTAAACAAACAGATTACTCATACGCATATAATTAATATATAGTTGTTCAAAGCTCTATCCATGTAGGAGTACAGAAACGTGACAACCCAAAGGAAAAAATGTGCTAGGAATACATAACAAGTAGAAAATAACAAATACAAATAAGTGCCAATGTGAGCAAGACGTCAGGCTGACATTAAAACATTTATTAATATTTCAAGTGGCCTCTCTCTACAGGGTCAGGCAAAAAATTGTTGACCAACTGTATAATGCATCAATGTCTGACTTGAAATGGTCAAAGAGATCAAGTGGACTCTCTCTGGAATAAAGAACATCCTGCTTTCTTCTGCAACTGTGTTGCCATTAACATTTGAAAAGGGCACACAGAAAGAATAAAACACACAAAAAAAAAAGAGGCGAAGAACGGATGCAAGAGAGTTCACGGCAGTGATTTAAGAGCCACGTACACTTTCATGCTGCTAAAATTACATGGCAAAGGCTTTTTATTTTTGCACTATGATGTCAAATAGATGAAACATAAACAGATGCCCTCTAAAACCTCCTTACCTCACCAAGGTAACATGCTGAAATAATATAGTCATTTACTCCCAACAAATATGAGGTTCAGTGTTGTCATGTACAAATGTGAATGTACAAATAAAACGTATGAATTTCACTGCATTAGATAAAATATCAAACCAAGTGGTATTGTGATGCTAGAGCTTTTCTCAAAGAAATTTTTTTTCAATATGACTTATTTTTGTTCTGTTTATTTTTTTTTATTTAATGCTTGAAAAGTGTGCTGATATAAGAATACTTATGGCATTTTGTACATTGTAAAATGGGGGGGGTGTCACAAAAATAAATAAATAAATAAACAAACATTTATAGAACCTACAATGTCTTTGAAAATATCTCTTTTGATTATTTCTGATCTAGAATTGTTTTAATTTGGCCTTGTGTCATACTATTAAAAGCATTGGTTCTCTGACCACTGATGAAAGTCATTGTAAGTCATTTCCAAATCATCACTGTATAATTATGCTTTCCCTTTGCTTATGCAACACAAGTTCTTGTCCTCTTCTTTCTTACAGATATTCCCAGCAGGATAATATTGTCTAAGCAATTAAAGGAACCCCTGATGTAATTAGAGAGCTTGATACCAATTTTTGATCATAAAAATGGAGACGCAGGTTGAAGGAAGCCGATGGCACTGTCTGTATACTCCCAGTAACACTGCTTGTAAATATGGCTTACTGAAAAAAAAAAGAGGGAAACATATAAATTGTGAATCGCTTCTTCCCCCCTGTGGTCATATCTTGCATTGGATTTATTAACTTAAATTATTTATTTCACATAAAAAATAACAGTTTTATATTTAATATTAAACATGCCCTCCAGATAAAGTATATTTATACATCTAAAAACTAAAAAAACAGATGCAGTAACTAAAGGTAGTATAAACAGTATTTCAGTATTACACTTAACAATATAAATCAGTCAAATATAAATATCTATAATCAACTATGTTTTATAACTATAACAAAAACATTTCAATTACTATTGTAATTTTGCTACCTAAAAAAAAATAATAATAAAATAAATAGTTCATCTCTAAAAAGAAAACTGACACTGTGCAGCTATTTTCCACATTCTTATCAGGAGCTCATATTTCTAAGATATCAAACCATCAATCAATAAACCAAAATTCTATCTCTGGTGACCTTGCTGTCTGTTCCTTCCCCCAGAGCAGACTGATAAATGAGGTACAGATTGTAGAAGTTAAAGAAATCAAATATAAGTAATCAATGTATGCATCCAATCGTATTATAAGCCTCCGCAGGAGAACACTGTAAATAAAGTAGTCTGCAAAGCTGACTTGGCAGCTCCACAAATCTGAGAAAATTCATACCATCTATGAGAAATCCCTTCACATCTGACTCGCAATGAAAACGTAGTTTGAAAAATGAAACGGGTTATGAAAGATGACATGTTCTGTGTGAATACTATCAAAGAACGAAACTGAATATCAAATTTAGGCAATGCTTTTCTCCTCTCTGAAATTATTTCCAAAATATTGAAGAAAGACCACATGGCTCCATGACAATGCCAGAGATAATGGTGCCTTTAACAATGGCTTACAGTAATACAGAAAAACATATTACTACAGACACCCCTCATATGGGCTAGGGCCTTCAAACTGCTATTAGATTTCAACAGGCTGTGTTTCCTTTTTTCCCATCAAAATCGACTACAGTTTTACAGAATTACAATATCTGGTTGTAGGCCATCATCTGACATAAAGGATTCTTTTATATACAATTTTCTCTTCCGATCGACTTTAATGAAAAAAAAGTGTGAGCCCAAAAGAAGTCCTCCAAACCAATCACAAACCAACAAAAACAGTTCTGGACTCCAACAAGAATTGAGTGAACATGCTTTTTAAGCATAATTTTGATATGATCATAACTATAATGATCATAACTATTACTATTGTACTGTATATTGTAAACTACATAAACGGTACACTTGTAAATAACATATCTGTACATTCATTTAAACAATTATATGTGTTTTTTCACTATATTTCTATATCTGTATATAGTGCATTATTTATTTTTTTTCTGTTTTTCTTATATTAGTGTTATTTCATTACAAATCAACTAATATCCATCAAAGAAAGGGACTTACCGCAACACATTGCAGGAATATCGCAAATACTTACAGACGCTAAATTGTTGATTGTTGCTTTCCCACCAAAATGATGTCACTTCCTTGAAGACGATGTCTTTTATTAATCAAAAAGATTTTGCACACTAGACTAACTGTTAACTAAAACTAAGACTAAAACATTATTTATTTGAAACCTTTGACAAGAGAAAGTAAAAATGGAGAAACCTGGAATATTTCCCAAATAAATGGTCTGTTTTTATTTATTTTTTATCTTAGAAACTAGCATACAGCACCGGGGAACATGGCAAAAATAAGTAAACATTAAAAATTTAGTCAAATTTTTTGTCAAAATTATTCAAGATTTACCTCAAATTAATGTTCACATTAAAAAATATATATATATATAAAAAAATAAAAGAAACTACGATTTGTCATCTAAAAATTGTTTGTTTAAAAGTATTGTATTGTTATCTAATAGGCCTATAAAATATGTATGATGCAGATATGAAAATGTACGGCATAGCAGGAATGACTCCTTTCTAAACGCAGACGATATATTCGTTTTCCCCCAAAATGCTTTACTGTGGTAACCACTGTTTCGCACTCAAAATAAACCACGCCCCCGTAGATGACGCGGGCCCACTGTGACTGGAGACGCTTGTGAGGGGCGTGGCTATGACTTATCACGGCACCGCCTATTGCGGAACATGCAAGTCAGCTGATAATGTTGTAGGAACGCACAAGTTAGTTAGAATGAACATAGGAAATCAGTGTTGTTTATTTTGGGGTATTTTTCTCCATATCAGTGTTTGTTTAGGCGAGGACTACGATTTAGATGATAAAACTGGATTAGGACGATCGTTTGATGGCATTGGTGGTTTAAGCGGTGGTGGGGTGAGTGTTTTACTTTAGTGCGCTTCCTTTTTCTGAAGGGCTTAGTTTACAGAAAACGCTAACGTCTGCATAACAATAACAGCCAGTGTGTTATAAATGTTTTTACAGGCGACCTCGCGTTTGCTCGTCAATTATGCTGAACCATATAGGAGTCAGATTCTAGACTATCTATTCAAGGTGTGTTTGCTTTGCTTAGAAAGGAATCTGATCAGACTATGTTTATGTAAGATTATGTATTTACATTATAGACGTAGATGACGCGGGCCCACTGTGACTGGAGACGCTTGTGAGGGGCGTGGCTATGACTTATCACGGCACCGCCTTTTGCGGAACATGCAAGTCAGCTGATAATGTTGTAGGAACGCACAAGTTAGTTAGAATGAACATAGGAAATCAGTGTTGTTTATTTTGGGGTATTTTTCTCCATATCAGTGTTTGTTTAGGCGAGGACTACGATTTAGATGATAAAACTGGATTAGGACGATCGTTTGATGGCATTGGTGGTTTAAGCGGTGGTGGGGTGAGTGTTTTACTTTAGTGCGCTTCCTTTTTCGGAGTTTCTGAAATGCTTAGTTAGTGAAACACTTTACAGAAAACGCTAACGTCTGCATAACAATAACAAACTAATGTGTTATAAACGTTTTTTTTTTCTTTTCTTTTTGTTTTACAGGCAACATCGCGTTTGCTCGTCAATTATGCTGAGCCATACCGGAGTCAGATTCTAGACTATCTATTCAGGGTGTGTTTGCTTAGAAAGGAATTCGATCAGACTACATTTATGTAATATATAATGTATTTACCTTATAGACTGTATACATGTCAATCTGTATTTAACAGCCTAAATTTGGAGCCTCATTAAAATCCTGAAGGTTGAAATAGGAGGCGATGCTCAGACTACAGGTACACAGAGCTCTTTCACTTTAAAACTTCTGTACAGTGAATGTGTGTTTGCATTATCTACTAGTGATGGGCAAATGAAGCCTCGTGAAGCACTGAGGCTTTCCTCTGACTGTTTCGGGGAAAGATTCAAAGCTTCGCGAGTGTCAAAAACAGCGCCATCTGGTGGTTAATAAAAAATATAGCAGCCAAAAGCCTGTGAAAAACGCTCTGAATTGCGCTGCTTACTCGATACGCGCTTTGAAGCTTCAGTGTCATAGCATAGGTAACATCACTATTATCTACATGACCTATTAAATGTAACCATTTACAGATGGAACTGAGCCCTCACACATGCACTATGAAGATGATGAGAATTATTTTAGAGGATATGAATGGTGGCTTATGAGGGAAGCCAAGAAGAGGAATCCAAACATCACCCTTATAGGTAAAACATGCACATCAAACAGGGCAAACATGCAAAAGTACATACAGTGCACTTGTACTAATGAGATCAGTCCCAAATTGTAATATTTTACACCTTTAATAATTTGCTTTTAACAGGTCTACCATGGGCTTTTCCAGGATGGGTTGGAAATGGTGAAAACTGGCCATATAGTTTCCCTGAGATCACTGCTTCTTATGTGGTTTCATGGATTCTTGGGGCCAAGCAGTACCATGACTTGGATATTGATTATGTCGGGGTGAATTTAACTCATCTATTCTAATAATGCAAAAATACATACAGTGCACTTGTACTAATGCATTCAGTCCCAAATTGTAATATTTTACACCTTTAATAATTTGTTTTTAACAGGTCTACCATGGGCTTTTCCAGGATGGGTTGGAAATGGTGAAAACTGGCCATATAGTTTCCCTGAGATCACTGCTTCTTATGTGGTTTCATGGATTCTTGGGGCCAAGCAGTACCATGACTTGGATATTGATTATGTCGGGGTGAATTTAAGACAGTGGGACACTTCACACATGGCGGAAGTTATGTTGCATTAACTGATGAAAGAGGAAATCTAACAATAATCACTGAAACTATGGTGAGACTTTTGAAATTGATCTTCTAAACAATTAACCGAACATGCACTACTGTTCAAAATTTAAGGGTCACTAAGTTTTTTTTAGATGTTTTTAAAAAATTTTGTTTTTGAAAGAAGTCTCATGCTTTGCTTACCAAGGCTGCATTCAAAAGAACAGCATTTATTTGAAAATCTTTTAACATGCATTATAAAGGTCTTTACTGTCTCTTTTGATCAATCTAATGTATCCTTGATTAATAAAAGCATTTAAAAAATCATACTGGCCCCAAACTTTTGAAGGGTAGTGTACATTCTTCTAATGGTATTTATGTTTGTATGAAAACACATTACTGTATTTTACTTTCTTTTTTAGACTCATGAAAATGGGTTTATAATGGATAAAATGACTTTACTTAAATTTAGTATATGGAATAACTTTTTAGCAGGCTTCAATCAGTGAGCTGCAGGTGTGGCATTCAAAGTTTGACTTCAAGACAAACAAGACAGTCCTCTTCCAAAATCTCAGGCCTGTTAAAGTAAGTATAAGTATATACATAAAATCAAGATAAGTTTTTTTTCATGATATATCCTCTTTAAAAAGACTTAATATAAGTGAATATTTTGATATTGTCTGGGTTCTTAAAAATATCAATAGGTTTAGTAAATTGATTTTGATAATACATTTTTACTCATGTTTAAGTGATATTTGAAATCTAATGTAATATCTCAGTGTGAACTGTGAATGCTTTAGGTAATTGAGGGATCTTTCAGCATAGAGCTTGATGTTGATGAGGTATATACATTTACTACTGTACGAAACGGTCATAGAGGGAATTACCCAGATCCTCCCACCTCTGCTCCCTTTCCTAAATCATACAAAGATGATTTTGATGTCTGTAAGTAGCTTATTTATTTTTTCCCCCCTCATTTAATAGTTATTCTAATGCTTTTCACTTAGCAATGTGTGCAAATCTAACAACTTCCTGTCTCCCAGCTGGAAATCCATATTTCTCAGAGGCTCCAAATTTTGCAGATCAGACAGGGGTCTTTGAATACTTTACTAACCTGACAGATCCTGGACCCCATAATTCCACTCTGCGACAGGTGGTCACTCAGCGTCCGGTGACCTGGGTTGCAGATGCTGATCAGACAATAAGTGTTATTGGTGATTATAAATGGTGAGTGCAGCAGTGTTTAATATGGTTTGCATAACATTTGTTAAGATTTTATGGCTGTTATGTACACTACTGTTCAAAAGTTTGAGGTCGGTCAGATTTTTTTAAAATACTTTTATTCTGCAAGGATACATTTGATTCATTAAAACACACAATAAAGATGTTTATAGTGTTACAAAAAGTTTCTATTTTAAATAAATGATGTTCTTTTGAACTTTCTATTCAAAGAATCATGAAGAATGTATCATGCTTTCCACAAAATTAATGAGTAGCACAACTGTTTTAAACATTGATAATAATAAGAAATGTTTCTTATGCGCCAAAACACGAGCGGTGTGAAGCGACAAAATACTATAGAACCCATTATAATCAGTGATGCTGTCTACACTGGATGCGGCACAGCGCGACACGACAAATCCCTGACAGTAAACTGATGCCTCGTTCTATTTATGACGTACTGACACAAAGTTCAAATAGTTTGCAACGGTCGCTTTGTCGCGTCCAGTGTAGACAGCCTCAAGAATGAGTTCTGAAGGATCATGTGACACTGAAGACTATGGCTGCTGAATGGCTGCTAAGAATTCAGCTTTGACATCACAAGAATAAATTGCATTTTAAAATATATTAAAATATAAAACAGTTATTTTAAATTGTAATAATATTTCACAATATTACAAAATGTTCCTGCATTTAAAAAAAAAAAAAAAGTAAATGGAGCCTTGGTAAGCATAAGAGACTTCTTTTAAAAACATAAAAAAATAAAGTTTTACAGACCCTAATCTTTTGAATGAAAGTGTACATAAGAAATAAATACAATTTTACATAATTTGATTCTTTGCTATTTACCACTCTGTGTCCTTACAATTATCAGGCATGACCTGATGGTGTCATGTGACATATACATGGAGGCTGTGCACACCGGTGGAGTCTTCATTGCTGTCAGAGTGGACAAAGGTGGAGGTGTCATCCGGAGCACAAGGGGAATCTTTTTCTGGGTGTATGCTGATGGAACCTACAAAGTCACAAATGACCTCCGTAAGCATCTGAATAATAAACTTTTAATAAAATAATTTTTTCCCCACTGCTTCTGTAAGTTTACATAAGCCATGGTCATATTTGCAAAACCCTTTGAATGAACAGGTGGAATGACAGTTCTTGCTGAGGGCCTGTCTGGAACTAGAGCACGTGTATGGTACACACTGACCCTTACAGTCAAGGTTTGTTGAATTATATACAGAAATGTTCCTAACTATATTTATTGCTGAGTTTTCCCTCTATTGTAGGTCTTATCTACTGTGTCTTTATTCTCATTTATTCTGTGTTTTCAGGGAAACTATGCATCAGCAGATCTCAATGGCTATCCCCTGTGGAAGAATGCAGTGCTCTGGGAGCCACGACATGGATGGGTGGCCATAGGCACTAGTTCCTTTGAACTTGCACAGTTTGATAATTTTGCTATAGAGGCCTTAGCCTGATGTTTTTTTTTTTTTGGCCATTGTTGTGACACTGTAAACAGGCAGACTGGAAACAAACATTTTCAGGTGTGTGACTGATGTGATGAAATGTAACAAGTTGTTAATTTTTAAAGTTTCAATTGCATCTACGCCCAATGTGCATTAATAATAATAATTTAAACCACTTGTGTGATTTAAAATGTCTGAAAATGTGAGTTTTCTAAGAACTTTTTTGTTATTAATTTAATTTGAATGTATATTTTTTCATATAAATGACTGTTAAGCTGTAAAAAAAGATCTTGTGTATTGTTTCATTTAAAGTAGGGTGAGCTGTACAAAATTGCAACAGTATATTCATGACAAAGCACTAGCCTTATTATGATTATCATACCACAACCCATATGTAAAAGTATAGTGAAACAATATTTGTAATTTTTATGAAATAATTATTTGAATTTTTTTTTTTTTTTAGATAAAGACAGTGGGACAGTAAGTTTACAGTTGTTTTGTTTAGTTTAAGAAGGCCTATTTCAGAACATCAAACAAATTGTGTTAAATCCATGTGCCATTTCTTGCTATAAACCTTTTCCTGAATTAACGCTAGTTAATTTATCATCCGATGAATGATGATCACAGCTCTTCATGACGAAATGGACCAGTTTTCTGGGCCCAAGATGTTTATCCTGGTGTCAACCATCATGACGTGGGCTATGACTAAACCAGCTAATAAAGTAGGATTAATTAAAGTTATCAATTAAGTACTCTCTTGATTAGCAAGTAAACATGATTAAAAGGTCATATTAATGAATATTTTAACTCCATTATAGGATGATCCAGAGATTCCTTTTACAGAAGAGCACTACAGTAGAAGAAAAGCCCACCCCAACTTCCATGATCATATCGGTTTGGAGCAACTTGTGGTCAAATTTGGCAAAACTGTAAGCAAGAACCTTTGCGGGATATTATTCCATTTTCGTTGAAAATTAGTGCAATATTAAACTGATGTACACACTATTTATAGTTACTAATAATATTTGCAACACTTCAAGTGAGCAGTACTTTAAAAGTGTGAAGTTCATATTTATTTATGAATGATTTTCAGAAAAGCTCCCAGTTCTCTACATATGTTGTTGCATCAGGGCTACAGTATGGAATGGGAGAACACATCTTTAATTTATTTTTTAAGGTAAATCATACGCACATACTTTAAAAAGCATCACACTTATAATTACTTTGTATTAATTAAAGTGTTGAAGCTAAATAGTGTCATATTTTGTTGCTCTATGTAGATGTCATGGTTGGGTGAAGTCCCCCAGGTGCCCATCTTTGGAAATGGCTCCAATTTTATCCCCACTATTCACATCAATGATCTGGCAGGGTAAGTAATATTATGGAGCTTTTTATGACATACTGTATCATCCATGCAAAAACTAAATTACTGGGCATTTACACCACTTTGATTTGTATTCATTAAGGATCATCCAAAATGTCACTGACCACAAGCCAAAGTCACAATACTTTGTTGCGGTTGATGATTCCAAAAACACAATGGAGGATATCATAAAGGTGAGATTTTACACATTCAGTATATTTTTGTTTAGAAAATTAATGGTTCTCATGCAAAGAAACCTTCTTCCCCAAGGCAGTAACACTCATGCTTGGACCAGGAGAAACTCTGAATGTTTCAAAAGAGGAGCTCTATCTCATACGTGATCTGACAGTAAGAATCAATGGCAGTATTGTTCTGACATACTACAGTGAAGATTATCAATATTCTACAATTTTGGTTTTGTATTGACTTAAGTTGTTGTTGTTGTTGTTGTTGTTGTTTTCACTTTCTCCAGCAAACAGATATTGATTCTGTGCTTGTCAACCTTCGTATTGAAGCAACATATCTGAAAGAGAATTTGAACATTCAGTGGGTGTCAGAAACTGGCATGGTTGAAAACATTGAGCAGATTACTGAAGAATACAAGCAGACTAGGGGATTGTTGGTACGTTGAAATACTCTAGTGTGATTTATACGTTTATTTTTGGTAGTGTACAGTTGGTCTCTTTGACTTCATCTACAGTTTTACAGTACAAGCACCTGTGTTTATGTGTGTCCCAGCTCCTTCGTATCTGCATCCTGGGACCACCTGCTGTTGGGAAGAGCACTATAGCGGAGAGGATATGCAAGCATTACAAACTTCATCATGTTAAGCTTAAGGAGACAATCACTGAAACATTAGAAAACCTGGTCAGTGTTGTACAATACCCAGAATTTATTCACAACCATCAAAGCATGTTAATTTAATTCAGATATTATTTGAAAAGATAGTTCACCCAAAAATGAAAATTCTGTCATCATTTACTCATCCTCAAGCTGTTCCAAACCTGTATGAGTTTCTTTCTTCTGTTGAATATATATCTGAAGAAGATATTTTAAAGAATTTTAGTAACCAAACTTGACTTCCGGTAGGGAAAAAATAACAGTCAATGGCTACCATCAACTGTTTGGTTACCAACATTCTTCAAGATATCTTCTTCTGTGTTCACCAGAAGAAAAAAATTCATACAGGTTTGGAACAACATGAGGGTGAGTAAATGATGTCCAAATGTTCGTTTTTGGGTGAACTGTCCCTTTAAAAAAGCAAAATAAAATAAATTGAAATAAATAGATCCCTGTAGTGACATCCTTTCTGTTTTTATACATTGAAAAAATATCTATAAATATTTTTAGATATTTTATACTGATGTTTAATTGAATCAATCAGGAGTCGTGTGTTCGTATGGAGGATGCGGAAAACGATCAGAGTGAAGCTCAGGAGTTTCTCGAAAACATGAATCAGAATGGAGGTTGTATATTTGTAATTTTTTAGGTGCTATATATTGAAATTATATACAGTATGTATTAAGATTTTTGTTGTTGTTGTTTAGGATGCCTAGATGACCAATTTGTGATTCGTATAATGAGGGACAAACTCAGTACTAAACCCTGTGTGAACCAGGGCTTTGTTTTAGACGGTTTTCCAAAGACATATGAGCAGGCGAAGGAGTTATTTACTGGTGAGAAATGTGCCCTTTTTAGGTGCTATATTAACAAATTAAATCATGATTCTGATTAATAATACATGAGCATTGATTTGCTGCATGATTATTTAAATATTCAACAGGTGATGAAGAGCCTGAGGACTTGCAATCTAAACATGAGAAAAAGATCATCCCAGGTCTGCAATTAATTAATATAAAGTATAATGCAGATTAGAAATGCTTTTTTTCTCTCCATCATAATTATTAGCCTTAAGATTTGAGTCTTGCACGACTGATTTGAATCTTATACAATTAATTTAGCTACACAAGCTTTCAAACATTTAATAGTTCTGAAAGGAATCTCTCATGCTCACCAGAGCTGAATTTATTTGATCAAAAATAGTTTAATAGTTCTGAAAGGAATCTCTCATGCTCACCAAAGCTGAATTTATTTGATCAAAAATACAGTAAAAACAGAAATATTGTGAAATATTATTACAATGTATAATACCATTTGGTTAATTCAATGCATACTTGCTAAATAACAGTATTAAGCTCTTTCGGGAAAAAGAACTGTGCCATTTAACTATTTTTGCATGAGAGAGCTGTGCAGTTTTGTTCAGCTCAGTTTTACATAATGCGAACATTTTCAGTGAGATGTTATGTTTGTAGACAGATGAACAGAGAATATCACACCCACACCTCATTTAAAAGATTTACTGTAACAGGTGGCTTTAAACATCGCTATGATACTAGTGAAACAGTCATCTGTCTTTTCTTCAGAGTTTGTGTTCTTTGTTGATTCCACTGATGTTTTCCTGAAAAACCGCGTTCTGAATCTACCTGAGACTGTTGTAGAAGGAACTTCCTACACTCCTGAACAGTTCCTTCGCCGCTTGGCCAAATTCAGAGAGAGAAACGTAGAGAATGAGACGTTGCTGAACTACTTTGAAGATGGAGATTCATCCTGAGCACTTAGGTAACGTTGAGGGAGTGAACCAAATCATGACAGAAATTACAGTTAAAAGTTAAAATGCCTTGATGGATGTTTTTTACAAACACGCAGCTTTTCACCTCACGAGACGTTAATTGATGGACTGGAGTCGTGTGGATTATTGTGTTGTTTTTATCAGCTGTTTGGATTCTCATTCTGACGGCACCCATTCACAAGTGTGGCCTAAGAGTCCAAATACATTTCAGACCCCTGTATGCCTATTTTATTTATTTCCCTTCTATTTCAGAGATTACAAGCCACAGCCATATCACCCTGCAGCCCAAGACTGGTTGCCCACTGAAGCTAAGCAGGGTTGAGCCTGGTCAGTATCTGGATGGGAGACCTCCTGGGAAAACTAGGTTGCTGTTGGAAAAGGTGTTAGTGAGGCCAGCAGGGGGTGGTCTGTTTGGGTCCTATCGCCCCAGTATAGTGACAGGGACACTATACTGTCAAAAAGCACCGTCTTTCGGATGAGACGTTAAACTGAGGTCCTGACTCTCTGTGGTCATTAAAAATCCCATGGCATTTCTCGTAAAGAGTAGGGGTGTAACCCCGGTGTCCTGGCCAAATTACCCCCCTGGCCTTTGTCAATCATGGCCTCCTAATAATCCCCAACCACTTGATTGGCTCGATCACTCTCTCTCCTCTCCACCTGTAGCTGGTGAGCGCACTGGCGCCGTTGTCCTGTGGCTGCCGTTGCACCATCCAAGTGGATGCTGCACACTGGTGGTGGTTGAGGAGAGACCCCCCCACATGATTGTAAAGCGCTTTGGGTGTACAACAATACACAATAAAGCCCTATATAAATGCATCATTCATTCATTCATACAAGCAATGATGACAATGAATACCTGCTGATCATAGAGCCGATTTGCAAAAAGGTGGGCAAACCGAAGAACTATGGGATGATCTTAGAGGAGGTGGAGGAAGAAGAGCGACGGCAAGCTGAGCAGCAGCTAAAGGAGCAGGCGGCACAGAGGGCAGAGGCAGTGCAGCGGGAGGAAGGAGAGGCCCAACAGAGAGATCAGTGCTGGGGAGAGTGGGTAAGCACCTGCTTTCAGTCTTCTGATAACTACAGTGGATTCAGTGCATTTTTGGTTGTTATAAACTTTATATATTTTTTTAAATATAAATGTTTAAAGTTTTAAAATCTTTGAATTGCACTACATTAATGTTTGGCATTTAAAATGTTGTGCGTGCGTGCGTGTGTGTGTGTGTGTGTGTGTTTATTGTCATTGCATGTTTTGCAATGGCAAGAAAAGGTGCTAATCTCTGCTCTTCTATGAGATGTTAGTGTGTGTGTTTGTGTGTTTTAAGAATCAGCGTCTTGAAGAGGTGAGGAGACAAGAACATGACCTATTGGAGTCTAAGTAAGAACCTTTAAGGAACTACCTGATGAGGTATGTGATGCCCACTCTCATCCAAGGTCTCATTGAATGCTGTGGAATACGTCCTGACGACTCCATAAACTTACTGGTAGGTTGGTCCTCTTAATAATAGTCACAATTTGTTAATTTGTTTTTCTGGAAAAAAAAAAAAAATTTGTCACTATTTGTACCTTTCAGGCTGAGTACCTTCTCAAAAATAATCCTGAAGTGTAATCGTAAAATGTGGACATTATTTGCCCTGGGGTTTCAGCAGCAAGTATAACTTCTGTTGTATCATTTTTGTTCTAGAGAGGTTTATTTCAGTCTTAATGTTCATTTAAAATCTAAATCATCATTAAGACGGTCCATGATTATAAATAATAATTATACTAGTATGCTACAATGAATAAATACAATGCAAATCAAATAGAAAAACTATTTTCTTTCACTGTTTATCTACCTATGGATTTAAAATGCAAAAAAACCTAAAAAAACATAATGAATGGTTGATAGAATGAAGCTGATAATTGGAAGTTCATTTGTGGAAAGTATGTCCATCATGTCATGATTAGCCTGATTTGTCCTCTGCTTTCAAAGGTTAAATGTTACAAATGGCAGATAATTAACAGACCCTTTTAGCTAGCACATAATTAATTTCATTAGTAAAATAAACTAAATACTGCATTTTAGGAGGTTCTGTAGCTCCTTCAGTTCACTTTTTAATATGATAATAAATTAACGTAGTCCTTAGCGCTAGTTTCTCTATTCTCAAATAGAATAATATAATACTAACCAATACAATGCAGAAGGTCCACAAAGTGTGCAAGAGTCCAGTTTACAGCAGGCAATAACAATACTCCAAGACATGAGGAATAATAGGGTAAATGGCAGCAGAAGTTGGCAATAAACAATAAACCAGGTAGGAATTTACAAGTCATGTGCAACCATAATAGATGTACAGCTGCTAAGGACAAGATTGTGTATGACAAAGCACAGGTGCTTGAGGTTAGGCAGAAATATTGACTCTCTGTAATATGGATGGACCCAGAGTGAGAACTGTTTATGAATCTGTTGATCAGCACTTTTGATTCGGAGCAAACTTTTTAAAATATCAGCCCTTTGAGTCAGTAAGAGTGTCAATCTGAAATTCAGCTACTCAAATAGGCAAACATCTGTGATCGGAGGTATGATAATTTAACAAGCTTCTCTGATTTTTACATGTATTGAAAATATTGCAGTTAGAAAAACTGATCATATTTAAATATACTGTAGATAACATATCATAATTGTATGGCATGTTTTAAGACCAAAATGAATTGTACAGTATTTTTTAGAAAAATATTTTATTGTACTTAGTTTACCTAAAATGTTTACTTAAAAACCAATAAAAATATGTGACCCTGGACCACAAAACCAGTAATAAGGGTCAGTTTAAATAAGCTTTCCATTGAGGTATGATTTGTTAGGATAGGACAATATTTGGCCGAGATACAACTATTTGAAAATCTGGAATCTGAGGGTGCAAAAAAATCGAAATATTGAGAAAATCGCCTTTAATTTGTCTAAATGAAGTCCTTAGCAATGCATATTACTAATCAAAAATGAAGTTTTGATATATTTACGGTAGGACATTTACAAAATATTTTCATGGAACATGATCTTTACTTAATATCCTAATGATTTTTGGCATAAAATAAAAATTGATAATTTTGACCCATACAATGTATTTTTGGATATTGCTACAAATATACCTGTGCTACTTATGACTGGTTTTGTGGTCCAGGGTCACATATATACTTTAATATATACTGTACACTATCATTAAAAAGTTCAGGGTCGGTGAGATTTTTTTGATAGAAAATTTAAAAGAACAACATTTATTATACATATTTTTTTTCTCATATTTGATGAGTTTAGTGCATCCTTGCTAAAATTGTTAATTATTAAGAATAAAAGTATTATTTTATTAATTAAAAGTATAAAAAACTTTAAAACTTTTGGTAGTTTATACAGCTACAATTCTTTTAAGACTTTAGCAGGTTACTATATAGGTATGTACCACTAGATGGCACTCCTACCCAAGCAATTCAAGATATTTCTGTTCGTTCAGATTTCCCACCAATACCACGAGACAACCCAGATGACCACATATTGTGGAAACATTTATGTATGTTAAACAGTTAGGCCTGAGATTATTCTGCTATTGCAAACTTTTATAAATATCAATATTAACGTTTTTTTGCACTGCATTCAAACATATTTGCACCTTTTAGATCAACAAAGCATCAATAAAGCATGCCTATTGATAATATAATAGAAAAAATCAATTCAGCAGCAAGTATAAATTATGTTATGTTTTCGAGAAAAGTTTATTTCAGTCTTAATTAACAAATGTTTATATATAGTTGTTAATGTAATTATTTTGAATAATACTTATACAGTAATGCTACAAGGAATAAATACAATGCAAATCAAATTGAACAATACATTTACCTACCTATATATTCACATTTTAAATGCATATATATATATATATATATATATATATAAAAAAAAGTTCACGGTGAGATTTTTTTGATAGAAAATTTAAAAGAACAACATTTATTATACATATTTTTTTTCTCATATTTGATGAGTTTAATGCATCCTTGCTAAAATTGTTAATTATTAAGAATAAAAGTATTATTTTATTCATTAAAAGTATAAAAAACTTTAAAACTTTTGGTAGTTTATACAGCTACAATTCTTTTAAGACTTTAGCAGGTTACTATATAGGTATGTACCACTAGATGGCACTCCTACCCAAGCAATTCAAGATATTTCTGTTCCTTTAGATTTCCCACCAATACCACGAGACAACCCAGATGACCACATATTGTGGAAACATTTATGTATGTTAAACAGTTAGGCCTGAGATTATTCTGCTATTGCAAACTTTTATAAATATCAATATTAACGTTTTTTTGCACTGCATTCAAACATATTTGCACCTTTTAGATCAACAAAGCATCAATAAAGCATGCCTATTGATAATATAATAGAAAAAATCAATTCAGCAGCAAGTATAAATTATGTTATGTTTTCGAGAAAAGTTTATTTCAGTCTTAATTAACAAATGTTTATATATAGTTGTTAATGTAATTATTTTGAATAATACTTATACAGTAATGCTACAAGGAATAAATACAATGCAAATCAAATTGAACAATACATTTACCTACCTATATATTCACATTTTAAATGCATATATATATATATATATATATATATATTGTGAATATATATATAATGTGTATATATATACGTTTCATTTATTTGTTTCCCCCCCCCCCACACATTTTTGTGTTCAACTATATTTGCATATTTGGATCAGTAAAGCACATCTCTTATTAGTATCAGGAACTAAATATGTCAAATATAAGTACAGAAGTCTGTGCAATTGTGTTTACTCATGTCACTACATTGGAGGCCTGAGTATTTCTGGCTGCAAACAGTCAATCCAAAAGCCTGTCTGCATTTGGAGGGGGGAAAGTGTTTTGTTGCTTAGGAACAGTTGTGTCTGTGTCGCAGTGGGGGTCTCCTTGTGAATATCATTATGTTCCCTTCAATCGACAAAAATGACACGTTTTTCTTGTCTGCCAATATTTATCATTGGCTGCACTCACTTGCAGGGCCTGCAAATGTCTTTTTATTGATTACAGGGCAGATTCTTCGATTATAACTAACTTTGTATCAACATAATATTCTAGATATCTACAATGAAAGGTCTTTTCATGTTGACAAACTACGAGAACATAAGAAAAAAGTAAAATGCATATGGTTATTTTGTTAAATATACCCTGTTTTTGCCCATAAAAAGCTTGGAAAGTCAAAACAGTATTTTTTTACTACTTTAACTAAATCTCACCGAGTGAAAGAAAGCGAGATTGATCCATTTTCTCCTGCAACAATACAGCAGTGATAAGAATTAAAGATCATTTTGAAGTCGTGAGATGTAATTGTATATGTTCTGTTGCTCACAAATAAAACAGACGGAGCAGGTGAGGCCAGAGGACGTGGCGAGGAGCGGAAAGGTACCTGCCGAGTCTGCACCCTGCGACTGATTATGTGCAGGATCATGTTGACAGGAGGAAGGAGGAGATGCAGCCACACATACAGCAGGGATGCTGGGTGCCTAGGCCGGAAATTCATCAAAATGGGGGAACACCTCCAAGAAATGTGCGTCAGACGGTGTGTGCTCCTCTCGCATCGTCCCTTTGGAAAGTCAGTGAAATTTTCCAGTGATTGATGACGGCTAGGAAGGGGGTCAGTAAGAACAATGTGCATTATTAATAGAGTGGACTGTCTTCTATAATTGCTTACCTTGAAGTCAAAATATGATAATTATAAATTTACACATTTGAACAAGTCTTTTCAGCTTCCGAATGTGTTATCAGAGAGTATGGCTTATTAAGTGCATGTGTGTGTGTGTGTGTGTGTATGTGTGTAATTGAAATATAACTTTTTAACAAATATTTTATAAAATATAGCTTTTTCACCAAAATGTTAACTTTTTTAACCTTTTTAAATTTTTGCCTTTTTATGAATTGGTTTGTTTCATAAAGCTAAAATATATTTTATAATATATTTATTCATTAAAAAACTATATTGATATTATAATGTACTTATTTAGGTTTGATTGTGTTTTTACTTATTTTTAATTTTTCACATGTTTGTTTATTAATTGTTTTGTATTTCATAAAGCTATATAGGCTCGATTGTGACAACTTACCCCACACAGTATGACAACATGCCATACTTTTGGGTCAACATGTGTTAAATTAACTGTCTTTTTTTTCTTTAGGCCATGACAGTGGCCACATTTCATTTTATATTTTCATTTTCGTTTTATTTTTGCTTGTATTTTAGCAAATATGTTTGTGTTTGTGCCACCACAGAAATTGACTGAGAGCAGGTGCTTACTAACAACTGTCCTATTTCTTGGGCTCTGACAGAAAAATGTTTGACATTTTATATTTGAGTAC